TAACGAATGAAAATGAGCGTAAAAGTTCCAAAACATACATGTCTATATCCTGTCATATGTCAGGTATTTTTCGACGGATTATCATGTTCGACATCTTGTTCTATTCAGAAATGTCCAAACTTCCATATTCTTACACGAAACGATATACAGTGCGACTTAAAAGAGTTCCAGCAAGTTTTCAAATTCTACCAAGTTTAGGTGACTCCGCCATTTTGTTTTTTGAACGAATATAAAAAATTTGCCATCAGCGGACTGCCTTGATCAATTCTCTCTCGAACAAGACCAAAATCAATCAAATCGGCCAATAAATGAAAAATTTATCAGACATCCCTATAAATATGAATATTATTTCAATATACGTGTAGTTAGGACAAATCGGATCATTTGCCCCAAGATGACACTGCGTTTAAAGAGTTTTCCTGTTAGAGAGCCTAAAATAAGAATTCAGTAGCTTGTCAGTGACAATTTGTATTGAAAAAAGTTTGGAAGGGCGTCGCCCTAGCTTCTCAGGTAAGGCTCTAGCCGTTCGATATCTGAAGTTAAGAAGTGTGGAGCGCGGTTAGTACTTGGATGGATGACCATTCGAGGAAACGCCGGGTAAGCCCGTACATCTGTAGCGGAATAGCATATCATAGCTACAGCTACCATATCAATGAGCACAAGATATGGTATGGATATGCCGTCCTTCGGAGGGGACGTTAAGCCGGCGGTCCCGAGGCCATGGATGTTGGACTCGTTAAAGATCCCTACCTCTGGTTGTAACACCAGAGGATTCGGCAAAATTGCCGGTTGGGGGTTTAGTGTGCCCACCGGCGTCGGTGATTAGCGTCAGTAGCAGAAAAAGGCCGACGTTGAAGAAACGAATAAAAAAATAGTTTGGAAAAGAGAAATGAAGGTGTATAAAAAAATATCAAATTTTCACTTTTCTTTGGACGTTTGGGGACCAAATCTGCTTCCGTTTCCAACATAAAAAATGGTTATTAGAATAGCAAAATCGAATCTGTCTTGAAACGTTTCCGTTCTCACTGACAATTGGTGACGTTGGCAATCAAATGAGTTACAGAAAGTTTCCATTGAGTAATCTTGAATTTACCATCTTCATTCTCAGATTTCAGAAGTGAATATCATGTTCTGGCTATATCAACTGAGCAAGAAGCAATGCTATTGGCTCCGTTCAGAACATATCCTCACTGAAGACGGAAAACATATGGCAGATTGGAATAATATTGAAATCATTGGAAGAGAAGATAACAACCAGAAAAGAAAAATCGAGGAATCTGCTTGCATTCTTCTGAACGGAGACAATAGCATTGCTTCTTGTTCAGTTGATATAGACAGAACATGGTATTCACTATGGAAATCTGAAAATGAAAATGGTAAATTCAAGATTGATTAATGAATACTTTCTGTAACTCATTTGATTGCCAACGTCACCAATTGTCACTGAGAACTGAAGAGTTTCAAGACAAGACGACTTTGCTATTCAAATAACCATTTTTCATGTTGAAAACGGGAGCAGATTCGGTGCCGAAAGGTCCAAAGATAAGTGGAAATTTCATATTTTCTCTATATAAGTACCTTTATTTCTCTTCTCCAAACTGTTTTCAATACAAATTGTCACTGACAAGCTAGTGAATTTTTCTTTCAGGCTCTCTGATAGGGAAATTCTTCGAACACGGTGACATTCTAGAGAAAATCATCTGATTTGTCCTTATCACACGTATTTTGAAATAATATTCATATTTTTATTTTATAGAAACGAGGAGAGAAAATCTCAAAAAATTTTGAATAATGAGTAGAATAATTGAGTAGATACCTAATTATGAAGCAAAACTCACTATCATTATAAATGGTAATATAGGTACTGATCTTATGTAGTGTCATATCGAAATAATTCAGAGTATACACTGTTCTGATTGATCAAAAGTTTGAAGGAATGAGATCATAGGATGAAAATTCAGTCATGTTCAGGAATATTATTTTATCATTCTTTATTCCTTATTTCTCATGATGTATTGTGTGTTCTAAAATACAACCGGATGTGTGGGTATCATTATTTTTTGTTTCATGTTCGAAATTTCTCATTCTCTATTATTTAATATCAGGATGTTCGGCAACCTTACCAGGAAGGCGTTAGCGTCCACCCTCGCTATGTCACACTTACTAAGCTCTAGCTTGTTGACGAACGACAGTCGGTCGAAGACATCCTGGTCCAAGGATCTGATAGGTTTGTGGCTAAGCGAGAGCCGTATCAGCGCGGGGCAATCGAGGAGAGAGGCCTACGATATAGAGTCATTTTTTGCGTCAAGAAAACCATTGGAGGTGCCTCCTTTTCTTAATCAGGGTGTTCGGAAACCCTACCTCGCATCGTATGGCAGTTGCCAATCTCTAGCGTGTTGAGAAGCGACAGCCATGTAGCAACCTTTTCTCCTGTGGCCCTTACTTTAGCGCTTGTTCGGACAGAAACTACTATAGTACTCGTCGGGGGTCTCGGGCGCCAGATTGTTTATGAGGTGGTTTTCCCCACCTCCTCTGGCCGAAGCTATTTTTGTACTGAGGCCCGAAGTAGCAGCAGTGGAAACAGTTACAGGAGGTATATCTACCTCGGTACCTACAGTATAAACCAGGGGTCAATGTTATTGAATCCACCTGGAATCAGTAAGGAGCCAAGGAAGTGTAGGCTTCAATTACACACCCTGGGTTCAGCCTGGAATATTGGTTGCTATTCATCATTCTGAATAATCACAGGAATCAAAGCAAATGTCTTTGTCGAAAATGGGTCTCTGGTATTTTTTGGTTAGGCCTGGAAAATTATCTATTCAGGGCATTATTTGTAACGATTGAATCAGACCTCGGATCAATGAAGGAGCCAAGAGAGTGTAGGCTTAAATTTCAAATCCTGGGTTTAGCTTGGGAGACTGGTTGCTATTTTTTCCTGGATGATTATACGAATCAAAGCAAGTATTCGTCAAAACCGGGTCTCTGGTATTTTTAGGTTAGGCCTGGGAAATTATTTATTCAAACTATTTCATTAAGTCTACCAGGAGAATCAGAAACATAGTTTCAAACTGATAGAACAGATTCATCTCATACCCATCTTTCCTTCCCCTTCAATTTTCTAACTTTTCAGAATCGGAATTTCAGAGAGGTTAATTATATATTCCTCTATCCATGTCAGAATTTTATTAATTACCGGCCACAGCCTGATAGAATACCAAGCACAGGGACAGGGGTGCACAGGACAGGATTCCTCAAGGAAGAAGAGAAGAAGAAGAAAAATTGACAGCTGACTATGTCAGTGTCAGCCGTCCGTCAAGTATAATCAGCAATGGGCTTATATCACGAAAAATCTTAATTCCATAATTCGATAGAACTCATCCAAACTAGCTCACCACCGCAAATCTTGCTGTGAGCTCCCTACGTTTTATAAAAAATTAATTTTTTGGACCTCTGAAAACGAGGCGATGATGTGACGTCAAAACCCTAATACTGAAACAATACTATTCCAGACAGAGATGAATGATACATGATTTCTGACAAACCACCAAGATTGGTGAATCGGCAAGTTGATTTTTGGGACAAAGATAATAAGAACAAGAAGAAGATCAATTCTAACCTATAATTACTTCTTGCAAATCGCGAAACTTTCGAATATTAAATTGAAATATTTCGACAAAAGTATGATTAAGAAATGTTTTGTGCCTAATTGCAATTATAAAAACATCATTTAGCTGGGAATTTTGGGAACAAATCTGGCCCCCTCACTGGGTAAACACAATATTGTAGTAGTTTTGATTTGCAGAAATTCATTGGAAAATTGCTTGAAAAATTAATGATCCATCTCCTAGAAGAACATTCAGGGGGAGATGCAAGCAGTATCTAGTCTAGGGAATAACCATACATTGTTTCATACCAATTGATCATATTGTTGCATGAGTAATAAACATATCAATCAGTGACTGATTTGATGAGGATTCTCCATATGATGGGTATTCTGATGTTAAATATCCTTTCAGGTGAACAATTTTTCAATACAACTATAATAGGTACAAGCTATGAACATTGAATGAATATTGTGGAACTCACCTTTCAGATTTTCTATTTCTCACTTCAGCACTGAGAAAATGTATGTTAGAGACATAAAAGTCATTAACCATTTCCAAATCAATTTTTGATAAATCATCCAGCCTTTTACAAATTCTGATTCAACGTTCATGTTTATATTCAATATATCAATATAATATATAGCAAGATTTGGAGGTTAATTTCATTTCGTGTCATCTCTTCTCATTTTAGACGACATAAATAACTTCGGAATCGGAATTCGAGACTCGATGCAAATGCAGCTCCATGTAAAACGGGTCAAAAAAGCAATGTTGCTGCGATTATTAAATGTATTGGATTATTGTGAAATTGTGATGGTGCAAATGGTTTTGAGATTGAGACATCACGTTGTCTAGAGATTGTTCATATTCCGATGATTCAACCTACAATCGACAACTTGAATATATTTTTCTGCAGTAGTGGTAGTGGATATCAAAAGATATTTCAATATCGATTTCGATCTCTCGGATATTTTGTTTGGGTGATATGGCAACAGTGATAAGTGTCACACATGGGTCACGCTCATTGGTTCCACAGGCAAGATGAGGTTTCTACGTCATAAGAGGGTCCGTTTTCAGAAGGTACTACTCTATATGTCCAAAAATGAAACATTCCAGTTGAATTTTCGATCGAATTATGTCGTCAATCATTATTTATGTATAAAAGGATCATTATAAACATGGTTTGAGTTGTAAGTTCTACTAAGGTGTACACGCTCATTTCACATATGAAAATATTAAAAATCATTGAATGAATCATTGAAACTATTATCCGCAACTGAAGATAATGACAACACAGAAAGAAATATGGAATATGCAATCACAAATCCTACCTGGAAAGCATTAGCGTCCACCCTCGCTATGTCGCAGTTGCTGAGCTCCAGCGTGTTGAGGAACGACAGCCGATCGAAGGCGTTCTGATCCAGGGCTGTGATGGGGTTGCGGCTGAGCGAAAGTCGCATCAGCGCAGGGCAGTCGAGGAGAGAAACCGACGGTATGGCATCCAGGAGGTTGTCGGATAAGTCGAGCTCCACGAGGTTCGTGAGGCCTTTGAAGGTCGCCTCGCTGACGACGCTTATCCTGCAACTGGTTCAATCGAATTAAATTTATGCATATAGGGGTCTTATAGTAGTTGTATATCAACTACGGAATGACCACAATGCTCAAAGTGCAATGAAATGTAAAATAAATACGAAAAGCTCGAAGTCATTTTCACTCAATGTTCATGAAATGAACAACAATGGTGAATTTCGGGAGAAAAACAACTACTTTCCTGGCTAACGCCACGCAGAACATTGAATATCCTCCCGAAACCTATGCGACTCGTATGAACGAATACTAATACAAGTGATTCTTTCCTGAATGCCTATTGCTAGACAACCACAGACTGGTTTCGAGCTCTTCAACTCTCATCAGTGCAGTGTAGTCTCCAGCCAGCAGTTCTGTGACCGCCGACTCAGCGAAGCCTCTAGCGAAACAAAAATCAAATCGGCATTATATTCACCCCAAGGTGTCTTTCATTGACAATATGAAAGAACACTCCACTCTGAGCATTGTGGCTATTTCGTAGTTGAAATTATGCCAGTTCTGGAGTGATTCTTTCCTCTGTTCTACTCAGATGGCGTTATTGTCGATGAAAGACGCCTCGGGGTGAATATAATGCCGACTTGATTCTTGTTTGGCTAGGCTTCGCTGAGTCGGCGGTCTTAGAACTGCTGGCTGGAGACTACACTGCACTGATGAGAGTCAAAAAGCACGAAACCGGTCTTTTGTTGTCTAGCGTGGCCTGGCTAAATCGAAATCACTTGTATTAGTATTCGTTTATACGAGTCGATGCATAGATTTCGGGAGGATATAATTCAATGTTCTGCGTGGCATTAGCCAGGAAAGTAGTTGTTTTACTCCCGAAATCTACCATTGTTGTTCATTTCATGAACATTGTGTGGGAATGACTTTGAGCTTTTTGTATTCATGTAGTAGTATATAAGTGAGTCGCGACGAACTGTACAGGGTGAACAACTAGGAACGACTGTCATTTTCATCATTCTTCCAACTTTTATAGTTGATATCTTCCGTTGGCGGAAAGCTATCATGTTGCGGTTCTCGTTGGTCTGTTGAGATTCAGTTTCTCTATCACATCGTGTAATGATATGTATACCATTCGTATGGACCACTCAAATATCTGAGGTTTTTTTCAAATTATGTTAAAATTTTTGGAAATCAATCGATATTTGAGTTTCTAGTCATGATATATTTGTATATTTGTGTGTAGATAAGCGTGATGTATTATGTCTCCTCCATGTGCTATGCGTCCTAGGACTTCTCAATTATAGCTGTTTTTTAATCTCATTCTTCTCAAGAACTTCATTTATAACATATCAAGTGGTCAGAAATAGTGATACATATTCAAAAAAGTAGGGGTTCATCTATCCCCATGATTATTTCCGTCTATTCATATTGATGCTGAAATGCCAATTGAGTGTCGCTAGAGTGATATCAACGTATTATGTTGAAATGGTCATCATTAAACCACTTCACCATAATATCATCATTTCAATCGATAAATCTGCTAAAAGTAATGCAACTGATAAATGTATCTCTTTTCATCTTGTTTTGAACTCTATATCCCATCGAATAAAATGATCCATTTAATGTGTGTTCCTGTTAGATACTATTCTCTTTATCCTCATCCAACCTGACTCACCGTGAAAGATGTATCCTCTGCAGATTGATCAAATCCAATCTGACGAACTTCTCCCGATGCAGCGTCCTCAGATTATTGCCGGCAAACTCCAGCACTTGCGTAGTGGCATCCAGTCCATCGGGAATGACCAAAAGGTCCTTGTTGACACACTCACTGGTTTGCTTTCCGTTCTTCCATCTGCATATGCAAGGAAATGGACAGCATTTGCAGAGTGCCAACAGCAATGTCAGATTCAGTATCACCGTGTTATACATGCTGCATAGTTCTTCGTATGCGCACTTCGGCTGTTATTTCCCTTGGAGGTTTTGCAGCTCTGGGGAGGCTTCTGAGTTCTTGTACATGGTTGCCAGTTGTCGATCTGAAACAAGACAAATGTTGAGCGAGATTCAGAAATGTGAATGAGTCAAGGTTGGTAGAACTGATTATATTCGTAGAGAAGGTTGCCGTAAACCTCTGACCATTCAGGTGTAGGTGATTCATTGAAGACATGAGACATGTCAAAGAATAATTTGATTCAAGTGCAGTGAAACAAACGCGATCAGTGTGAATGGAAACGATATTTATTGGCAAAGACAATCAATTAGGTGAATACATTCGGAATAAATAGCGCTTATATACACTCAGTTTATATCCATCTTGGAATATTCACATATAATCGGATAATGATTCACGAAGATCAGATAACAGTAGCAGACTCTTTATCAGTTCAAATAGATTATGAAAACATGCTGCATAGTTGTTCGTATGCGCACTTTTAGCTGTTATATTTCTTGTACATGTTTGCCAGTTGTCGATCTGAAACAAGACATATATGTTGTGCGAGATTCAGAAATGTGAAGGAAGTACCCATGAGTCAAGGTTGGTGAAACTGATTATATTTGTAGAGAAGGTTGCCTTAAACCTCAGACCATTGAGGATCATTGATCTTATTTTCGGAAGATTATTACGAATGAAGTGTCATGGTGTAGGTTTTTCATTGAAGACATGTCGAAGAATGATTGGATTCGAGTACAGTGAAACAAAAGCGAGTAGTGTGAATGGAAACACTATTTATCGACGAAGAAAATTGACTAGGTGAATACATTCTAAATAAATGGCGCTGCTCACTCGGAGTATATCTATCCTGGATTATTCATATATGATCGGATAATGAATAACGATGATCAAATACCAGAAGTAGACTCTCCATCACTTCGAATAAATTATGATTCATAGTGATGGAAAAAATTTACAGTAACGAACAACAGTTGAAGAGTGGTAACAGCAATGCCAGATTCAATGAAAACAAATGCTGCATAGTTGTTCTTATGCGCACTTCTGACTGTCATTTCTCTTGGGGGTTGTGCAGCTCTAAAAAGGTTTCTGAGAACTTGTACATAGTTGCCAGTTGCTGATCTGGAACAAGGCAGATTTTTTTTAGGGACATTCAGAAATGTGAAGAATGTCCCCATTAGTCAAGGTTTATATAGAAGTAATGATATTCATAGAAGAGGTTCCCTTGATTCTTCAACCATTCAGGATCTTGCTCTTCCCAAATGCTCTGTTGATATCCAATATCAATTTTGTGTGGAAAAAACGCTGACATCGAAACGAAGAAATCAATATATCACTCAGATAAGCCAAGATCGTTGCCAGTATTTCACAGTCGAATAAGGCAAAATTTTGAAAACCAATCAGTCAACTCCACGAAAAAAAAAAACGAATTAGTGGGTCATAAATGAGAGACCTGAGGACGAAGGTAGTGAACTCATTCCCGAAAGATTATTGCACATTTTTGAACAGGAATTTGGTGTTTCAATAGAAACATGTCAAGGAACTGGTACTGGGAGGAGTGGAGGACGTTTGCACATCAGCAACTAGTCCTACTGAAACTTTTCTGGAAATCTCAATGTGTAATGAGTGATGTGGTTCGCTTAAGAGATCTGGCTCACACCCTTCTCAAGTACCGTCCATCAGCTCTCTTTCAGAGTTTTTCGGTTTGAGTTTTGTAGGCTAGTAATGTACTCACTACCATTTGCTGCAGTTGCAGGCCTGCTAATTAGTTAATCCCTGTTAGAGATGCACTAAGCACTACTGAGCAGCATTCGCCTGCTCTCATGCTCAGATGGTAGTTTTCCATATTCATCAGCATACACCATCCTAACACAATTTATGGAATGTAAATCAAACTGTGGTCCTGCTTCTGCTCTGATGTTCACAACCATATCATCATCATCATCATCATTTTCCTATCAAGGAATGATTGGATTTGAATACTGTGAAACAAAAGAGCCAGTGTGAATGAACGCACCTACGTGAATACATTCGAAATTGATGTCGCTGATAATAATAGAAAGCACACAAATACTGCTCTCAGTTCTATTGTCCATAATATCATCGAGAATGGGATGGTATAATTAAGAAGGTGAAGATTATTACTAGCTGCATACTCGTAACTGATCAATAGAATGAAGATATTTTGTATTTCGTGTAAAAATTTTTATTATAAATCGCAAAGCGCTTTCGGCTAAAAAGCCATCATCATTGCTATACCTGCAAGTAAGTAACATTTTTGAAATTTCAAAAAACAAATCGAAAAGGTAGATTACTTACTCGTCAAGTATTTACAAAAAGGTCCAAAAATTAGTGATCACCGACATCATTATGGTACGAACGGGATTAGGAACAGACATACATTTGACAAATATGTTCCCTAATGGGTTATTGTAAAATTTTTCAAAAATACATGTTGAGATTGTTTTGTTCAAGTCCAGAAATAGCACGAGGGACCTCAACCTTATTTATTCTGGAGAATGTTTGACAATTTTCAACTTTAGTAAATTGTTGACAGTGACTGAGTGTCAATGTCTATGACTTAGTTGACATGTGTATGAAGTAGACAAGTGACATAATGAAAAAAGCGCTTGGGAAAGAATTGACAAGGTGAGCAGAAAACTGTCTAAAAATTTTGAAAACATTCTGAAAAGTAAGATAAGATGAAGTGGACTTCAATCCAGGCCAAAGAGTAAACCCCCAGACCCAGAACGAAGGCCGAACTCAAGTCTCAAAAGTAAGCCGGATCCTGAATGCAATTTTGTTGTGTTGGGTGAAAATTAAAGAGCAGGACTTCCATTTCGGAATCAAAAGTCCTAGTGTTCGAGCCGAAGATCTAAGGATGCCCAACCCAAGTTGTGAATCCACAAGAGAATGACAACATCAGTTGAGCCTCCCGACCTCAAGCGTAGACCGGACTCAAGTCCGAAAAGTAAGCCAGATTCAGACTTGTTGAAGCCGAAATCCGGAACAGTGTCTTGTATGAGTTATAATGGATATCATCATGGAGAATTACTTATTATTTCAAACGTCTATGTAAAGGAATGTAACATCTATTTAATTGTACTTGTGTGATCAAACAAAGGTCATTGTTTCGTAGTTCTTTTTCGATTTCTAAATCCTCCAAGAAATCTAGTCTATTATAATTTTTTGAATTAACCTCTTTCAGAATTCTTGAATTACGATTTGGACTGAAATTATGTTTAATGAATTTGATGTGATGGCCGAAAGCTAAAAATTCTGTTTTATTCAAATGTTCTCCTATACGAACTTTCAAAGGTCTACAAGTTCTACCTATGTATGAAGCTTCACAGTCATTGCAATTTAATCTGAAAATACCACTTTTAGATAATTCATTGATTTTATCTTTAGAATTAACCAAATGTTTGCTCAAATTATTAGTGCTTTTGAAAGATATTTTGGTGTTTGTTAACTTATTTTTGATAAAACTTGAAACTTTTTGAGAGATGTTTTCATTTGTGAAAGGTAGGGATACATATCTGGAAACTTCTTCTCTAGGATAAGTTAGATTATGTTCTCTCTTATGTTTGATTTTTTGAATTAGCTTTGGGATCAAATTTGGGTTGTAACCATTATTACATGCTATTTGTTTGATAGTATTCAGTTCTCTGTTGTATTCAGTTGATGATAATGGAATATTGAGAAGCCTGTGGATGTAGCAATATAGCACACCTCACATTTTCCAAATCTTCAGAAGTTAGCCCCCTGCGTCATAGCAGTCTGAAAAAAAATTTCAATCTCTGCAAAGACACTGTCATTCTTTCGTTATCTGTATACTGACAGATATAAGTAGGTTACCTATCTTCGATTGAGGATACAGTTGTGGAAGTCAAGATTTCAGATGATAAACTGCATGAAAGTTTTTGGGACAGAACTCATGAACAGAGAACTAATTCAACATTATACTCTAGCCACATATTTCCAGGAGAAGACGCTGTTTGAATGATATGGTATCGCATGTAAAAGATGAATGAATATAGATGTTCTATAATAATCATTATAAATCATCGAACGCAGAACATTCAACCAACATTCTATAACAGACCCCGAAAACTCACCATTGTTGGATTTGTTTTGAAATAATCCATCACAATGCGTCGAATATACAATTTCAATGCAGATTATTTTGCATACTTCCCGGAATGAAGGATAACACAGAAAACACTGTTCTATTTGCAATAATTGATATGCGTCAATCAGTCAAAATGTTCCATTGGGAAAAAATAATGTAGATGCATAAAAGCTACAGCATTGATTTGGAAGAAGGATTCTCATCGATTTGGTCTGGTCGTGACTGATTATTTTTTCAAAGTGTACAACCTCCATGTTTTTTTAACAAACTCTTCTAGAAGTTACATTTACTTCATTTTGAAAAATCAGTATTTCGCTACTTCAAACCTACTCCCCAGAAGTGAAAACTTGTTCGGGGTTGAAGATAGCGACACCTACAGCTTATAATGGATTTCGAACAACTCCTGTAGGACGCCGGGATGCATCAACGAACCATGCAATGAGAAAAGAAGCACAGCCCATAAACCTGGCTCGAACCGACACCTTGGCATCGTGAGACACTGTCTAGTGCCAAATAATGCGAAGATGGTACTTTCTATTGCGTTCTCACACAAAGATCATTTCCAAATAGATTGCAATGCACCTTCAAATCTTCGAAGAAAAAATTATCGGCCCTTATTTCTTCGCAAAATTCAGACAAAATATTCCGCTGATAGTTTGACGTTTCTGTGATAGTATCCATCATCAGACTAGAATTTTGCATTTGGTTTCTCACAAGGTGGAAACTACTGAAAACATGATTTAATTCGAGATTTAATTATTATGAAGCAACTCACCGTGGGTGGCTTCAGCATCAGTCTGACACTCGTAGTAATCAAGAAACTATAGAATTTATTCTTCACCAACTACT